GTGTGTGTGTGTGTGTGTGTGTGTGTGTGTGTGTTCAGCATTAAGGCAGAAAATGGGAGTCTTTATAAGTAAATTATTTGCTTTAAACAACACTGTCCATAATTAGGATTGTTTAAATTAGAGCAAATAATCTACTTAGTTTTATAATCTACATTTTAGGTTCTTTTTACCCTTTCTAGCCAAAGTAATCCAAAAGTAATAGTGCCATAATCAGATTATGCTTGGGAGTTGGGACTAATCCACTGGATTAGGTTGAAAACTGTCATTGACTGAACGCAGCTCTGTATTTTTAAAGTAGCCTTTCCAGTCCAGGAAGCGTGAAAATGTGTGTTTGTGCAAGCAAGTGTGTACCGACTCTGCTCGCATGTTTGTGCGAGGGCATCTTGAGGGAGATGGGAGGGGGAGGGGGGGTTGTTGCTAGGCAACGGTGAGCAGTGTATCGTTGCAGGAGTCGGTAGCTGAGTGGTTATGTACTGCTGCAGGCTCTGGTCTCTCAGTGCCCTCCTCCTCCTCTTCTCCTCCTGCTGCTGCCTCCACCACTATCACCACCATCGGCACTGCATCCCACCTCCCTCCCCGCCGCCTCTCACCCCGTACAGCGCCGCGGTTGCCGTCGCTAGGCAACTGCCTCCGCGCTCTGCCGGCGTGCCCGGTAATTGGCCAGTGGCGAGGCAGCACGCCGCCGCCAGATTCAGCCAGCTGCACTGACTGCTGTGTCCTCGTGTTTCACCCCCCCCGCCCATACCACCTCTGTCCATACACACCCACACACACATAGACCCCCCCCCCCCCACGCTGCCATTGCTAGGCAACACACTCAGGCATCCCTGCCTACTGGGACTTTGATTGGCCAGAGCCTGCAGGCCCACACCAGCTGTTCTGTGGGTGTTTCTGAGGACATTTGGGGACATTTGTGGACGGGAACCAGTTTAATTCCTGTGGCTAAACCAGTTAAACACAAAACTCCAAACTCTTTTGATGTTTTTTTTTTTCTTGAATTCGTATTTGAGTCAAAACTTCAAATGCAATCATCTCTACAAATTATTTATGCGGTCCATTTTTGCTACTTTCCTAGTGTCAACAAAGCTTTTATCACCTTATTTAACTTCCCATCAGTGTTGGAACCTTGTGCAACCCCCGCTATTTCACACCTTCCTAACATGCTGGAGTTCTGATAATGAAGTGCTCCACAACACGACTCCTCACTGCTAGAGTCCTTGAACGGAACGTATGCTGTGAGGTGTTCTCATTCAGAATGCTCTGCTTTACACTTTCAGGTCAACTTTGGCATCTAGACATCAATATTTGATAGGAACTATTGATTTTTCCTGATACAGATGATCAGGGTTCCTGCAGATCCTTAAAAAGTCTCAAAAGGTCTAAAATTCATCAATCCAAAAATTAGGCCTTAATTAGCCTTAAAATGTCTTAAATAAATCTTTCAGAAGTCTTAAAAATGTTAACACATTGTCAGTAGGATGACTGTAATTCATCTCAAATATTAAAATTATTGGTAACATTTATTAGTTTTTTTAAATATTCCTTTGACATCACTTCCTGTTGCTTCACATGCAAATATCTCTACTCTCCATTTGAGCATCATGAAATTTGTTTCATAATATGTTAACAATGTTGTCTTTCCAAAAATGCATTGAAATTTCTTACAAACATTTGATGTCCCAGGCACTTTAAGGTTTCATCTACAGCAAATTGGGGTTAAGACCCCACTGTGGGTCCTAAAACTCCAAATTTTGGGTCGTTAGAGAATTTCCAGAAATTAAATTAAGTTTAAAACTGACTAAGAATGTTTCTGCTATTGTTAGATATGGATAAAAACAGTTGGTCTATTAGCAATATTTGAATACTTCAACCAAAAATACTTTGATTCATGAGTTTCTGCCAGTTTTTATTCTTTTGTCATTTGTGTTTATTATAAAATTGGTCTTAAGTTTAATTTCACTTGGCATTAAAAAGTCTTTAACTTTCCTTAAAGGAACCCTGGATAATGGCCCAAAGCCAACACCATCAGTGATGACTTGTCTTGACTGAGCCTTCGATTGTGTCCCATTTCTAATCAGATTCAGCGAATTAGGCCAGCGTTGGTGTCGAAAGCACTCAAAGTGGAGCTGGTCAAGCTTGAGCACCAATCCAGATGGGATGTGACTGATGCAGGTGACATCTTTGGAGCTGGACTCAGCTGGCACTTTGTGTGACCAGCCTAATTATCAGCACTCCCCCTCCCTCCCCGTGTCGACATATCTGCAGCCTCCTCTGCCTTAATCCACTTCAGCAACAGTTCTCCCCACTTTCCTCTCTTCTGGTCTCATCTCAACTCCTCTTCTCAGACTCCTCTTATCTACCTCGGCTTTAATCCCACCCAGCCCACCTCTCCTTTTTCTCCACTTCTCAATCCGTCACTCTTCTTCTGCGTGTTCAGCAACGTCCGAGACATGTGCAAGCATCTCCATCCCGGTTAGACATTTCATTGCACTTTTTTCAGTCTCTTAAAAAAAAGAAGAAGTGACCTGAGTTATTTAAAAGAAAATTTATGGCCAAAATGAGGGGGCTGCAGTGGCTCAGTGGTCTAAAGCTAGTGGATTGAGTCAAAGTTGCATCAGATATGTGCATCTGGCATAAAGCAAGTACCAAATCTTTAATGTGAGTTAGCTCGCTCGGGCAACTTTTGCAGAAAGAAGTAGCTGGAAAAAAAAAATGGATCAAGCTAAAATAATTTGTAATAGTGAATTGTTTACCATTTGAGAAGCAGACTAAATAAGTAACTAAAGTTGTGTTGATGATTTGTTTCTCTTCTGTGCCTCAGGTGAGAAGCCGTACAAATGCTCATGGGAGGGCTGTGAGTGGCGATTCGCCAGGAGCGACGAGCTGACGAGGCACTACCGCAAACACACCGGTGCCAAGCCTTTTAAGTGCAACCACTGTGACAGGTCTGTCAAAACACAACGCTCCTTCTTTTCCTGCCGTCTGATACGTGTTTCCTTCCAGTTTCCCTACGTTGTTTGAGGCGGCACATTGTACCATTGTGATTTTTATTTTTTTTTGCTGTGTGGTGTTGTAAAAAAATAAAACAAAACCCTTCAAAGATGCTGGTAACACATCCTGTTTAGCTGGCAGGATTACTAATGTGGGTTACTTTGGAAGTTGCGCTGTCGTGCATTGAGAATTCACACTTTAGGCTCACTGCTGCATATTAATAGTGAATCTTCTTACATTAGGATGCATGACCGGGAATTGGGATGCTGCTATTAGATTAAAAAATGAGCACCCTCAGACGAAGCTAAATGGTATAAAAATGAAAAGTTCTACATTTATAAGTGAAGCTTTTATTTAAAAAAGAAATAGAAAAGTTCCCGAAGAAAGTTTAAGGGGGCCTTCCTCTTGGTGAGAGGGTTTTTTTCCCACATAGTATTGGGGATTTTTCCTGGGCATCATCATACCAAATTTAAGCTCAGTGTGACTTAAAAATCACTAAGTTATGGTCATTTTGTTCCTTTTATCTATGGCTACCATTTTCTATTTATGTATTAATAACTTATTTTTTATTAAATATGTGATTGGGATCACTCTCAGCTACCACCACGCCAAATTTAAGCTCAAAATGTCTTTAAAGATAGGGCAGTGTTTGGAAAAGCTCAGATTTTATTTTCTGTATACAAATCATATGAACGCATTCATTTTTTTAGCAACACAAAATGTGGGGAAGATTCACAAATTTTCATTTGGAATCACATTTTACCTGTGGCACATTTGTATGTCTGTGTCACTGGGAATAAATTGCAACATTACTTCATCACAGCTTCACAAAAATCGGTGCTGTATGTGATCGCCCACATAAAGACCGGAGGTACCACTGGCGACAAGTACAGCTGACAACATTTCCATGCCGCAGACCTCACAGTTGAGCACGCAGGGAATGACGAACTTGTTTTAAAGAGCTGATCTGATCTAATTTGCCACAGACATTTTTCAATTAGGCTTCCTGCCTTCTGTTGTCTGTCGAAGCTTTGATATCCTGGGCTTCCGTGACGAGAACATGAACTATTTGCTGGTCATAATTATTCAGTATAAAATTATAGGCTCATCTCAGACTCAAAAATCTTTTTTTTTCACTTTTCTGTGTGTGATCTGGCACCTCTGAGGTCTCTGAGCAATATCAAGCAAAAATGTGATGAAGCTCAACAACATGTGAGAAAAGGTCATTTTAAATGTGTTCCACAGAAAAAGCCATAAAGCTTTCTAAAATATCAGTTGACTTTAGGTTGGTTTTTCTGATGTAGTCAGTGAAACTACTAAATGTTAACTCTAAACTAGCCTGGTAAAAATGTGCTACAAGGCACTCAACATTTGTTCAGAATCAGCTTCTTACCACTGGTAACGAGGCAGCTCTCCTCTCACTCATTCCTGCAGCTTCACAGTGCTTTAAACAGTCGGACGCTGAGCTTCCACAGAGTTCATTAGCGATGCAAAGATTGCAGCGAAACGAGACGAGTCATTGGATAAATGCTGGCTTTGCCCCGCCCATCAAACGCTGAGCGTCTCTGGGGGTCAACGGAGCAGTGGGCTGGCCTCGGCTGGCCCGAACGCTCAGCTTCTGCATGATTGGATGAACTGTCGGAGGCTGAATCCCTTTTTGATTGACAGCGAAATGAGCGAATCAGCTATCTTTTGGTGTAAATATCCGTGGGAGCATTTAAAAAAAAAAACAGTGGTTATTCCGTATGTTGCGGGTGTTTCGGAGAAACTGAGACGTTTATTTTCTAAACATGATGTCCCAGTGGCTTTCAAACCCCAAAACACAGACCCAAAACAGTGGTTATTCCGTATGTTGCGGGTGTTTCGGAGAAACTGAGACGTTTATTTTCTAAACATGATGCTCCAGTGGCTTTCAAACCCCAAAACACATTACGGCAAAGGCTGGTTCACCCCAAATATCTGGTGCCCCGGCACAAACAGAGCAATGTTGTATATGCTGTTAAGTGCCAGGAGGACTGCGATCAGTTATACATCGGGGAAACAAAGCAGCCACTGTTCAAAAGAATGTCCCAACACAGACGAGCTACATCTAATGGCCAGAACTCTGCAGTTTTCACTCATTTACAGGCCAGCGGTCACTCTTTCAGAGATGAGGATGTTCTCATTCTTGATAGGGAGGAACGTTGGTTTGAGAGAGGAGTAAAAGAAGCCATTTTTGTGAAGAAAGACCGTCCATCATTAAACAGAGGTGGAGGCCTCCGTTTTCAGTTGTCCCACTCCTATAGTGCGGCTATTGCCAGTATCACTCCACCCCCCCTGTTAACAATAGGTGTTAATTAGGTGTCAACAATAGCCATGTGATGTATCAGTCACATGGAGGCAGGGCTTAAAAGCCTGAATTTTGCCTGAAACTCTCAGACTGAAGAAGTCTCTTGGAGGAGAGATGAAACGTTTCATTAGAGAAGAACCCGTCCAGAAGACCTATTTTTTTTTCTTTTTGATTTTTACCTGGATTACTGAGATACATCAGGAGCATTTTTTAGTTTCATTCTGTTCTGAGTTGAACCAGAGACTTTATTAATTCTTTTAGCGGCATTTTCTTTGTTAAAAATGACTAGCAACAAATCAAGCTTCTATTTCTGGTGGGTTTTTGTAGCTGCTTGTGTTTGGAGACAGACTTCTATCACTCTTTCTGACTTCTATCTCAGTTTCTGTCCAGCGGCTGCTGCTGATCCCATCCACCGTCACAAAGCACTCACAGGCGAACACACTTCACAATAGCTTTGCGCCAGTAACAAGCTGCACATAATGGCAGAGAGTTTAAATGTTGTGGACCGGATTTTGGCGAAGCCATTTGATAGTCTTCCTTACGAAGAAAAACTTAGAGTTAAACAGCAGGGCTGATCAACTCCTTAATTTGGTGCAAAAGGTGGGGAAAAGTAACAGGTCTTTTCATCTGTCCTGGTATGACAAAGTGAGCTGGCTGACTGGAAGTGTCATAAAAGGATCTGTGACTTTCTTGAAAAGCAACAGAGGGTAGAATTTATGTATAAATCAACACATTTTATGATGTAGGCCGAAAGTGAGCTTCCCCTTCTTGAAAGACCAGCATCCGCCACCGCTGCGCAGAAAATCGACGTTGTTCAAAACTCCACCTTCTGTTTGCTGATTGGTCCAGGTAAAATAAATTACAAGCAGACACTGCACAGAAAAACGACGTTCTGTTCTCAGATTGGCCCGAATGAAATGCTCCTGAAGAAATCTTTGTCTATGGGAGAAATCCCAGACGGAGCAGTGAAGGGAAACTAGAATTGAGTGGAACTGTGTAGAAAGGTAAGGGCCAGGCTAACCATAACCCACATAGCAACATTTATCTGGTCCAGTTCTTGCTCACACAATGCACTCTAACAGCCAGCACAGATACTGCAAAAAATTATGCGCCTATGGTGGCCCAGAAGAAGTTTGCCAGAGGTGGTCCACGAATGGACCAACATCACAAAAACCAAAGCACAACCGGACTAGTCGTGGCATGCAATCTTAAAGAGTGTCATCGTCCACTCCACACCTTGTAAATGATGTAATGCATAATCTTGAAGAAATTTATTGGGTTTTAGGTTATATATTGGTTTTTAATTACATACACATACTGTGTAGTCTTATGATAGAAGAACTGTAAAGATTGTTAAATGTGACTGTTTTGCTTAACTTGATGATTTTATATAGATAGATACATGCCTGCAAACAAATTCAACACATAACTGAACTTTTAAATCTTCATTAGGCTAGATTATGATTGTCTGGAGACATGGCTCCGAGCAGCAAAGGGACCCCTTATCGATTATGTAATCAAATAGGCGGAGCCATGTCTCGGAGCCTGTGTTAGATCCAATTCTCTTCTTGGTTTTTCGGTCTGAATGCTTGGTCATTAAACCAGTCTTCAGCAGAGCGCTCTGGTTTTGTATGATCTCTCTTTATTAAACTTTTCCATGCATTGGTATATTCTCCGTACGTTTCAAGCACACAAGCTGGTAAACGAACATGCATAACAATATTTTCTTTCAATCTTGTGCAATTTTGGGACACCTTGCAAGACATGATAGAGCTCATATGTTGTTACTGACTCCTGGCTAATACCAAACTGAATTTTAGCTGAATATTTGTACAGTTGACTGGGTTATTGCCATTTTAGTGTTTCCTAAAGTCAGCTGACTGTGGTGATCATCTGAATTTGGGTGGACTCAAAAACTTAATCTGTTGTCGATAGCCCAGAGGAATCCAGAGGTTTGTGGGGTTCCATGCAACCCGACTTGTGCCAAACAATTTGACGTCAGCAAACTGCAAGCCACTGATTGAGTGTACGGCCTGGCCTGGCCTGGCTTGAGTCGGCCCAGCCCAGGTTCAGAGTTTTTGCATTGGGCGGTTTATTAGGATAAACAATAGTATGAGCTTCATGCTCTCTATTGTTGCGTGTCGCATAAATGACATCATGTTAGCCTCAAGGGTCCTTGCTATGACAGTTATACCCACATGCCAAAACAATCAGGGTTGTGCAGAGCCAGAGAAGACCTGAAATGCAAAAATGCCATAACCATTAGTTTGAGAGTTTTATTGAAATCCACACATTGGTTTATGAGATATTTTATTAACAGGCACAGTTGACGTCACTAGTTACTGACAAACAAACCTCAGAATATCAGTTAGTACTCAGAGTTTGTTTGTCTGTGACTCTCAGCTTCTCCCGCTACATTTTAGCTCAGTATCTGTAAAATTGGCTAAGTTACACCAATAATGTGTTTACTGAGTTTAGACTTACCAATTAGTCTAACATGCATTTTTTTTAGGTCTGTGGGGCAAAGACCCAGCAAAAACCCCAAAACCTACAGAGAGAACATGCAAACTCCACCATGGCTGGGATTTGTTCCTACAACTTTCTCACTGAGAAGCAATAGCTCTG